AAATATGTATAGAACGATCTCGCTCATTTGTTTCGATACCACATAATGACGTGTCCCGCAGGCAATAATTGTTCCCCTTCTATAAAATTTCTCGATTATCAGCTATTAGCAGCATATATCACATAGTTCATATTTAAATTTTTTTTTAAATTCTCGTTTATACGTTTTTCAAATAATCTTAAGAATGTTTCATTACCGCATTCCATTTGAGAACGCTGTAACCTGAGGAAAATCTCCTGTGTAGATCGAAAACGTTTGTGTTTGCATTAAAATCTTCTGGAATTGTACTTTTAAGGTTCAGAGATGTGCTGTTTTTATGATATATATCATTATATCGGACAGAAATATATGATTAATTTTACATTACTAGTTACCAACGACCCAGATAAAGTAGCCATTTTGTAAAAATGCAGCGTAGACAACGAAAGCTCGATAGAAAGGGGCGCGAGAGGGGAATCCCCGCGTTAAAGTTTATTTTATCACTTGCAACGAATAAATCAGTTCGGCCTAGGACAAACTAGTTTAGCCTAAAGTATTTAGGCCAAACTAGATTGTCCTAGGCTAAACTAGTTTATCCTGACACGCGTAGGACAAACTAGTTTGGCCTAGGAAAAACTAGTTTGGCCTGAAATCGGGTTTGGCCGGTAACATATATAATCTTTTGCTTATTTCACAATATCCAACTATTATAATATCCAGGAAGTATAGACTTAATTACATGTACATTTCAGAAACGAGCAATTTTTTACATTATTGTCTTTTGACTGTATCTGCATCACTTACTGCGTTGCAGTTTTGTACTGATTTGCATATTACAGAGATATTACCACTCATAATATCTCTGTAATATGCAAATCAGTACAAAACTGTAATGTAAAAAATTGCTCGTTTCTGAAATATACATGTATATTAACAAAGAAGAAGAAGAAGAAGAAGAAGAAGAAGAAGAAGAAATGTACATGTAATTAAGTCTATACTTCCTGGATATTATAATAATTGGATATTGTGAAATAAGCAAAAGATTATGTATATCAGATTCTAATGTAAAAGGAATTACTCTACTTACTGTGAGATAAGTTGTATGTGTCGATTGGGTAAAGACTTTGTATGCATAACGGATTGAACATGGATATGGTAAGAACTATACCTTGTTTTAATTCAGTTTTGTTAGATATCTTTTAAATATTGTATCATTTAGTTGACTGATGAGGGGCTTTATACCCGAAACGTGCAAATGACACGTATCAACTAAAAGGAAATGAAAATAAAGACAAGTGTTTATTTAAAACTCAAAATTTTTTTTCTAAAAGGGGGCGGTAGGCCAAAAAAGGTTGGAAACGTATAGTTTAGATCAGTGTTTCTCAACGGGGGCGATATCGCCCCCACGTGGGCGTTTTTCCATGTCGAGGGAGCGATTAGTAACAATTTATATTTTGGGGGGCGAAAAACAATTTTCTGGGCGATATAGTAAAACATTATATTAAGAATAATTAGATATTTTATTTGTTATATCGTACAATAATTAAACAAATAACATTATACTAGTCACTAGTCTATTCGATGCAGTACGAATTTGGCGTTAGCCTTGGCCCTCGGCATCGGAATTTTGAAGTGAAGGGGGCGATACTATGTTGAAGGGGGCGACGATTCGTTAGAGGTTGAGAAACACTGGTTTAGATTATTATTAGGTACTGTATTAGTATTAATCAATGTGATGCCGTTGAATATTCTTTAAAAGAAATAAATATGATTCGCACTAAAGAAAAAATGATTGATTAAATACTAAAAAGTATGAAAAAACTCATTATTAATACGTACTTTTCAATTATCAATTTCGAAAGAATGTTTTAACAGATTTTGTACTAAAATTTAAGTTTAAAAAATTTAATCGTCAATTCACTAACAATATTTTTAACGTTATGTAATAACTCACATTATATCAATATACAACATTTTTTTTTCGTTGACAAATCAATATTTTGATTAAGCAATAAAAATAGTCTTTTCTTCCACTACAGAATATCTCAATTTGGATAGGGACATTCTGTTTTTAATATGCATCTTCCATTGTAAAGGATCTTCCCAGCGGGGCAATAACAACCAGGAACACAGATTTCATTTCTGCATAAACGAGCCATTCCCATCGGATCGCATGTTTCGTGACAGAGAGGACCGCAATCGTCGTAAACCATTCCTCCGTCGCATCTAAAAGCTAAAAATATACACATTTCATATAATTCTCACTGTCGTAAAATACATAACAACATTTTGTTAAAATTATACATACATAATTTGAATATATAAAATATCATAATAATAACGACAAACAGGAATTAGACTCTCGAGAATTATTAAATATGGGCCTGAAAGGAAATTACTGGGCCAAGTCAACAATGCGTTTGTTTAAAGAAATAAATGCAACGATAATTATAAAATCTATTTGTTTCGATTTTTAAGGAAAATATTGTACTTAAAGAAGAAAAAAAAGAAACCAAATATTTGCAGCTTTATTTAATAAATGATCTAATCTCAGAAATGTGTCCATAGTTATATTTTGGATTCTATTTTATTGTTAGAATGCCGAATGCGTTAGATTGGACGATCATAAAACTCTATAGTAGCGCTCTATAGAACTCTATGGTAGAGCTCAGCCACGTGTAATGTTAAAGTGCCAAATTTAAACCGTCAATATCTCCAAGACCAATGAACCGATTTGGATGAAATTTAAAATAATTAGTGTCCACGATGGACATCTGAACTATGGACATCTGAAATTTTGAATAAATTCGTTGAAACGTTTTAGATTTACTCAATAGGCATTTTGTCGCTTTTTTCTCCTACATTTACAACGAGAGAGTATACGACACTAAGCTATCAAAGAATCCAGGAGTCTGCATATGCTTAATAGCTTTTTCGAAAGCTGACCACCTCTTTTGTGGTCCTTTTGAAGATTTCATTTAAAAAAAGACTACTGTATTGAGTGTTTATAAAATAATAGCTTATTTTTTAAATTTTAAATTATTATTGAGCTTCCACGTGACATAACTTTTTTGAGATTACTTTTAATCTCTTATTACAAGTCTAATGATTTAAAAATGAAATATTTATTAAATAATAATCCATTTTACCTTTCCGGCTGTTATGTATATCCTACATAACAAGCAAAAGAAAATATTTGAATCGTGTCAAATTTGACTCTTCGCGTTTTGAGATGTTTTATCTACCACTGTATATAGATACAGATTTTGCCTATACAGATGATAAAATGTATCTCTGTTAGCTTTTTGGTCAATATGCGTGAAATTTATCACACTTATTCCCAGGGACCCAGAGGAAAACATAAACTACGACGAAATGCGGACACTCCAGCCTCCCTTGATTTTCATGCCCCTTATTAACACCTAAACCCTTTCCCGATCTGCACCAGATTTTTTTATACTTATTCTCTGGAACACTAAAAAATTCCTGCAGACTATCACGCAACTGTCAGCTGCATATAGAATTATCATAAAAATGATTATTCAGTTTTCTAATTAATATGCTTTATTGTTATCACCTAATACGTAGCGTGAAAAACGTTCTGTAATTTAATACAGAGTATTTACAGCGAAATTTATTGTAGATGCAACCAGTTTTACAGTCTTTAAAACTTTTTAAAATTATACAGTCTTTATAACTGGTTGCATCTACAATAATTTCGCTGTAAATACTCTGTATTAAATTACAGAACGTTTTTCACGCTACGTATTAGGTGATAACAATAAAGCATATTAATTAGGTGTGATCCTAAGTGCGCAACTCGATTTTCAATTTTATTGTCCTTGTTTATATAACAGAAGGAAAGTATGGCGATCAATCAAAAAATTATCCCCAAGATTTTACAGTTTTGGTCTTGGAACCTTGGTGTGGGCGCACGATTTTCTTTACCCACTTGAAAAGCTTAATAAATCACTTGTTCGCTTTGTCAAAAATTTCTGAAATTTTGCAGAGTGGTTTCACTGGTTTGTATATTAGGAGATTGATACTATTAAATTTTGATGACTAAAGGTTGAGGGGGTGGGGAGATAGAGTTTGTTTGTTTGTGGCAACGCAACACTTGAGCGATCTGCCTTCCGAAAGGTATTTTTAAGGGAAACTGGCCCCTATTTACGCGTTACAGACATGGAGAAAACCCGGAAAACTCTACGTGACCAGCCCGTCTTGGCGAGGCGCGAACCCACGACCGAACTCCCAATGTTCAGGGTATGAAGACCGCTTGGCCACTGGTGAGCCCTGAGGAAGATAGAGGAGGTCTTGTGCATCAAAGCTGGTTCTGGTAGGTGTGCAGTACGTACAGTTGGCGGCCAAATTTCTAGGCTTTAAAAATTTAAAAAATAAAATTCAAATATAATTTAATATTATTTTAATATAGCGGTCGGCAATGAAATAGATTAATGTTTTCATGATGACTGATGATATAGTTGTGCAGTTTATGGATATAAATAACGCCGAAGCATACATGTTAGGTGTTTTGCGTCATAAAACTAAAAGTGCTAGCAACAGGTGATGGGGATTCAACCGATGGACCAGAGATAAATTTATCAGTGGAAATTTCATAATCCACTACGATAGTTTTTTGTTTTAAATTATTTAAAAAGCATAAAAACTTAGAGTTTGTAAACTTTTAAATTTTGCAAACTCCAAGCTTTATTTATGTTAACGTCTTATGATTAAACAGTATGTTAAGTTTAGGAATGTGGAGTTTTCCTATTCTGTTGGCCACACAAACGGAAATGTCACTTAAGTGGTCAAGATAAAAGTGTCCTAAAGTGAAATGACCTCCAAGGTGGAATTTGACTTATAATAAAGTTATTATAAAACTATCTTTTCACAGAAACTATACTGATGTTCCTCCATAATTTTCCTATTTCTTTTTTGTGTTTAAAGTTGCGTTTCTTAGGAGTTATTGCACGAAAACATTCATAAAGTTGTTCCTCAAGAGTTAGAGTTCGAGATTGAATTCGGATTTACCAAGTTAACTGAAGAATCTCAATCAAAAACGAAAATGTTACACTACAACCAAAGTATTTGACAAGTAAATGTTTCACTCCATAGAAAACAAAGTAAAGAAATTTTTATTTAATTAAAATGTATATTATTTTCAGGTTATTTTATTATTGTATCTTATTTGTAGGTGTTTACGTTCAGACATTAAATATCTAAACATAAACGCTTAACACGGTCTCTTATTTTCTTATTTTAACTTGAATTCGCGTAAGAATATGCGAATTTAAATTAACACGGTTTAATACATTATTTAATTTTTAATTTGTAATTTAAATAATCTTACCACACTTTGTTTGAAGGGTCCAATGTTTGATGGAAACATTACTATGGCGACATTCCAATGCGTAATCGGTTATAGAATCACAATAACACGGTTCGTTATAGCTGCAAGAGCAACTGTCCTGTAAGCACATTTTATAATATGGTACGGGATTGACATACTTATGACACTTCCTAAAATTGCTATCTCTGAAATTCAAAAAGTCTTAATTAAAATATTAGCTCGTTTCTATCAGTATTTTATATATTATATAAAATCGTAGATCGTTTCTATCAGTATTTTAAATCCGATTACAGTATTTGTTTTAGTTATGAGAAAACTATTAGGTCTACAGTGAGTTTATACAAGAATACGATTTTTCTTAAATTTCTAGTAAATACATGTGGAATAACGAAATTGAAAAAAAAATTAATTTTAATTATGATTAATTAAAAAAGTAAAGATTTTTTAATTTTATTTGAGATTTTCATTTGATTTTATTTTCAGTTTTTGCTTTGTATCTTAATGGGTGCTTGTTTGTTAATTGGGAGTTAGTAAACTCATGCCCAGTGCATTACTTATATCGGTGTAATAAATAAAATCATTTGTAATTCTTTTTGCCCGAGGGTTCTTTTTATATTTAATATTTTAAAGCTTACTTCTTCGTGGATAAAAGCCGAAAACCCCAAAAAGATTAGATGGCATCAAGAAGACGTTCGTATATCACCTGTTCCTATTTTTGAAAAATTTTTATGTTTTTTAAAAGCACTTTTTAGCGTTTTGGCGGTTAGTAGCCTAAAAAGGAAGGTCGGTCGCCAGGATTGTATTGTCTGAAACACAGAACTAATATAATGGTGATCCCTGTTTAGGCGAACTTTGTCTTTAAAATATTAAAAATAAAATCATATAATTAATATTTCTTTCTTACTTACTTCAGGATATTACATTCCTTTCTGGCTTTCATTAGTCTGTAAGATGAAGTAAATTTACATTTGTTGAATGTAATAACTTGTAGTTTTGAGTCATTTGGTATCTTCGATGGAGGTTTGCGACAGTATTTATGCCCTTCGACTTTCCAACTAAGACCAAATTCCTAATTACATATAATTTTAGTTAATAATTAATATATTTCTAGTTATACAATAATAATAATTATAACTATTGAATAATAATTACTCAATTTATTAACTTTTATGTCTTCGTTAGAATTGCATTAAATATTTTCAATAGCAAATTTTTTAAATTTCATATTACTTTATATATTGCTCTTAAATTTATATATAACATTTAATATTACACATTTTATTTTAATTTTTTGAAGGGCAGAAATAGAATTGGTGATAATATCAGTAATTTACAAGCTATTTGAATAAAGTCTACTGTTGTTATACTCTATGCCTGAAATAAAAAACCTTTTAATGACAATATGAACAACATAAAATATATTTTTAATTACGTGAAATATAATTTTCAAGAAAGTTTTGAGCATTGTTACACTATTCTATACAAAGAATATTATAAAAGCTGCTTACTGTTTACAGTAAGAAATTGATATATTAATATAAAGAAAATTCAAAATTAAACATTTTAAAATATATTTGATATTTATAAGTTGTCGATAAACAGCTTTTTTATTCTAGTTAATGTAGTAACAGTAATAAGACATTACAAACAGATGTGGTCACAAAAATTTAAAAAAATCTAAACTATGTATATATATTATATATATAGTCTATACTTGAAAACTATGTATGTTTGTAGATCTCAGGTTTTCAGGTTTTTTATAATATAATTTTATAAAATTATATTATTATATAATAT